GGAATTCTGGTCCTGCAGAGGCCAGCGGGCGGCTGCAGAGCCAAGTCCACAGAAGGCATAGCTCCTGGTTCCTGTCAGCTGTGGCGGCCGACCCCCCAGACCTTACCTTATCCAAGAGCTCTCTCGTCTCCTCGGTCAGGGGATCGTGGGAAAACATGCAGTCGTCACCATTGATGCAGTTCCCAGTCGTGTGGTATAACTTACACGGAAAATCGCGTTCATGGCAAATTAAGGCAAATGCTTCACCTCGTGGAACCCACCCGAGGGCAGAACCCGACCCTGTTTTGGAGATGAGGAAACTGGAGCCCAGAGAGGTGAAGTAACCTGCTCTGGGTGGCACAGCAGGCTGGCAGCAGACACAATGAGACCCCAGTTCTCAGACTCTTGCCTTAGGGTGCTTCCCGCCCCACCTGCTGGCCTCGGGGCTGTGTCCTCGAATCCTCACTCAGCAGGAATAGGGAAGTTCAATGATGTGCCCAAGGTTACACAGCCAGTTGGAAAGTCTCAGAAAGATAACAGGCAATGGCATAGGCCAGTCCCCAGAGTATATGTAAAGAGAACATATTAACGTGTGGGCCTCAGTTTACTCATCTGCAGAATGGGAACAGCAGGCCCGTCATAGGACAGATGTGAGGGTTAAGTGAGATGCAGATGCACTGAAAGCTCGACACTGCACTGGCAGGGCGAGAGGAAGCACAGGGGAGGTCAGCTGTTACTACCGACAAGGAGAGCTCTGCCCCTCAATCAGAGATGTGGGCGCCAAAGGATATCGTGCATGTAGGGGCAGTTCTCGGCTTTGGCACAAAACCCGGTGATGTAAAACTTGCACAGTTCTCGCTTCTTTGGTAGCTCGATGTCATGGCTGAAGTTACAGTGGTCTCCCTGGAAGAGAAGCAATGGAAAGGTCAGGCGGTGGTACGGGAAGCCCTTGCTGATCCTTCTCCAAGAAAACGCTACTCTGTCACCACTGAAGCAGAGGGACCAACGACAGAACGAAGCCCCCTTCCCTCAGGGACAGGCAGGTTTCCCACCAACCTCACACTTCTGACCACGTGTGCGCTCCCCCTGGGGCCCCTGCCTCCCTCTCCCACAGCCTCCTTCCTCCCGTCTCTATTCCTTGCCTTTCACTGCCTCCTTCTAACTCTTCTCTTTCCTTCCCTTCTTTCTCTTATCTACTATTTTTCACTATTTACTGCATGACAACCAGTGTCCAGTCCTATGCTTTCTCCTAACAGAACCCCAGTTCTGCTTGAGGAAGAATGTGCCTGGCTAAAAATATTCCATTTCCCAGCTTCCCTTAAAGTTTTGGCCACAGGTGTAGGCAAAAGTCCCTACGAGGACAACATTGCCTCAATTTTTTAAAAATCCCACCACCTATTTTTCTTCCTCTAGCCTTTAGATGTGATGCCTGGAGAAGATCGGCCACCGTGCAACCATGAAGACAAAAGCCACATGCTCAAGCACGGCAAAATTAAGCCGAGGAAGGAGCGTGGTCCCGCAGCGTGCCGCAGACCACTGCACAAGCCTTGTACTGTCTACCCACCCCACACTATTCTGAGGGGTAAACACCTATGTGCTTAAGCTGGTGGAGTTGCATTTTTGTTATTTGCACTATGACACAATCCAAACGAAACAACACCAAGGTAAACTAAACATAGAAATGGTTGTATACTTGTTTCAAAAGTCTTATTCTCAGGAATGCCTATTCATTTTGTTTATATGTATTACGAGCTTCTAAAAATAATATGAATTGACTGTAATAAGGAATATTTTACATACACATGCACACTTATAGGAAGTACACGTTTTTCTAGACATACACAGAGGTGCAGTATTTCCTGGGTGCATGTTTCCCAATATCTGTCCACTGACGCTAAATGTGAATAAAAAGCTGGCTGACAGCCTTAGCCAGTGTGGCTCAGTAGATAGAGCATTGGCCTGGGGACTGAAGGGTCCTGGGTTCCATTCCAGCAAGGGCACATGGGTTGTGGGCTTGATTCCCAGTAGGGGGCGTACAGGAGGCAGTCAACCAATGATTCTCTCTCATCATTGATGTTTCTATCTCTCTCTTCCCTCTCCCTTCCTCTCTCAATAAAAATATATTTAAAAAATTAAAAGAAAAAAAAAGGCTGGCTGACTAACATTGGGTTATATTGTTTCCTTCAGAATTCTGTGGCCACTGGTCCATCTTGTGGCATTCAACTCTGCTGTGAAGTTCAAGGCTGGCCTGATTCCTGCCCCTCCTTTTCTATGGATGTCTTAAAGTTCAGTAACTAACCAGAATATGTACATCTCTGCATTAGTATCAATCTTAATACAACATTTGAGGCTGTTCAGATTTGTTGAGAACTTTGGCCAAAAATATCCTCCCCAAACCAGAAAAACCCAGATGTCCTGTTGCTCCGGCCCTTCGGTCCCTCTGAGAGGAGAACCGAGTCTCCCAGGCCCCAGAGGCACCTCACCTCTCGGTAGCCAACCACTCCCACCAACACCGGCCCTGCCCAATGAGGTGGCCTCCAGAGCGTGCCCAGGGCCCGTGTCCTCTGGGAGGTTGCTGCCCTGCTCAGCACCCCGATCCTTTGACCCCTTACCCATGTGCACCGCCCCTCCACGAAGTATTTGCAGATGACTTTGCCTTTCTTGTCAGACTGTTGATGGGGCTTGTCATGGTCACGGCTCCGGTAGCTTCCACCGCCATCCTGTTAGGGACACAGAACACAGAGTGTGAATGAAAAGCGAGGGCGGTGAGGGCCCCGCGGGTCAGGTGGAGACCATCTGAGTGAAGAAGAGTAATAGGAGTTGTCTAGCAGCCAGTTACATCTGACACCGAGGCCACAGGAGTCCGAGCCCACAGTATGGAGTGCTGCTTGGATAAGCACAGCTCTGGCACTTGGAGCTGTTGGCCATGGAGACTCGAGCACACACACTTGTGCAGGAACACATCCACCTCCTGGAGGCAGAGGCACGTGCCTTCCTGTAACACTCTCCAGGGATAACTGAATGGGTCACCTAGAACCTTCCATGTCTTAGAGACTTGTTCGGGGTGACTGCAGGTGCCACAAAGACGTGGTTTTAAAAAACAGAGGGTCTTGCCCTAACCGGTTTGGCTCAGTGGATAGAGCATCAGCCTGTGGACTGAAAGGTCCCAGGTTCGATTCCGGTCATGAGCATGTACCCTAGTTGCAGGCACATCCCCAGTAGGAGGTGTGCGGGAGGCAGCTGATCAATGTTTCTCTCTCATCGATGTTTCTAACTCTCTATCCCTCTCCCTTCCTCTCTGTAAAAAATCAATAAAATAAAAAAACAAAAAAACAGAGGGTCTTACCCTGGCCAGTGATGCTCAATAGTCGGAGCGTTGACCAGCACACCGAAAGGTCGCCAGTTTGATTCCCAGTCAAGGGCATGTACTAGGGTTGCAGGTTCAATCCCCAGGCCCTGGTTGGGGTGCGCGTGGGAGGCAACCAACCAATATGTCTCTCTCACATCGATGTTTCTCCCCCCACCTTTCTAAAAATCAATGGGGGAAAAAATATCCTTGGGTGAGATTAACATTGAAAACACACACACACACACACACACAACAAAACACAAAAGAGAGGGTCTCACTAGCAGTGCATCCCTATGAGAGATGATTAGTGCTTATTGGCCCTATGGGGAACGGCTCCTGGGAGCAGGGGGCCAGGGTCAGCCTCAGAGGACAACTCATTAAAGAGAAAAAAATATCCAAGGAGCGGCCTTGGGTAAACACATCAGATCAGAATGAAGAGTTGACTCACGCCCATGTCATCATCATAGAAGTCTTCATCATCGTTCATCCCACCCTTGTTCATCCCTCCTCGGCTGCCACCTCGACCTCGGCCGCGGCCCATCCCTTTGCCTCGGCCTCGGGAACCCCGGCCACGGCCTCGATTTAACCCTGCGGAGGAGAGAAATGGCATCAACCACTGCCTGTCCCCAGAACCCAACTCTAACAGCTGCCAGAGGGAGCCCCACCAACTCGTCAACTTCCGGGCCCCCTGCCCACCTCGTCCTCGGCTATCCTTGGACCGGCGGTACTGGTTTAGCTCCTTGGAATAGTCGTCATAATCCTCGTCTCCCATTGGTTCCTCACTTTCTCCATACTGGAATTTCAGAAAGAAGAAAGGTGTCACATGGGGAACAATGAACACGGTCCCCAACTATACATTTTGCCCCTTTGCCTTTTGGTTTCAAGGACAACCTCAGACTCAGAATAGCAGCTGAGGAATCTGGGCCTCAGGCCTGTGTCCCCTCCTCACATGACCCAGCCTGAGCATGGGTGGTCTTAATCCTTTCTGTGCAGTCATCAGTCTTAAAACTCCCACCCCCCGGGCAAATCCATTAGGGCACCTCTGTACACAATGGACAGCTGTGCCGCTGGAACAGGACTGCACAGAAAGGTCTCGGCAGGGACACGGCAGTGAGTGTGGCAGTTCTCTGCACACAGCACAGCGAGTAAATAAGCCCCCAGCTGCAAAGGCCTAAATCATTTCCAGAGCCACTCGGGAACCCTGTCTCCAGGGACGGGAATTAAGTCGCTGGAAGAAGATGTAATTTTCACAGCTCACCCTTTGGTATCTGTTCAGTTTGAATCATATGAAAGTTTTTTCAATTTCAAAATCATACATGAACATTTAAAACACATAAGCCTGCCTGATGCTTGCTTTCCTTAGCCTTACAGGCCACCCCCCACAGTACATGCAGCCCACCAGCCATTCCCCCATTCCCGGGCAGTAGAAAGCCTTACATCCATCTCATCTTCATAAAAGTCATCTTCATCTTCTGGGTGGTCTCCCATGGAGCCTCTGCCCCTGCCTCGGCCGCCCCGGCCCATGCCTCGGCCCCGAGACCCTCCACGGCTTCCTCGGCCCCGGTAGCCCCTGCCACGGCCTCGACTGCCTGCACGGTGATTCAGAAAGTGAACGCCTGAGCGGGAGTAGACCCCACCAACAAGAGAGATGTTAACCCATTGTCTGCCCCTGAGGTCAATCATTTCACCCTCCTCTCCTCCTCCAAGAAGCCTTCCCAGCTTCCCCAGGCAGACTGATGGTTCCCCTGGTCCCCTTGATGGGGTGCCTCAGCATTGCAGGCACATGACTGCCACAGCACTCACTACACTGAAAGCTGCACTGTACGATATGGTAGCCACCAGCCTCATGTGGCTTCTGAGCACCGGAAATGGGGCTGACCAAACCAAAGAGATGCTGTGAGGGTAAGTACATCTGGACTGCAAAGACTCAGTGGGGAAAAAAGAGGGAATGTAAAATATCACATCTGCCTAGTTTGCAAACGTGTTGAAATAAGCTTTTGAATGTATAAGGTAAATAAAATATATTGTTAAAATTCATTTCATCTATTTGCTTTTACTTTTTAACGGTGACTGCTAGAAAACTAAGTCACATGGTAGCTTGCATTCTGCTTCTACAGGACAGCACTAATCTAGAATCTCCCCAAAGAGCAAGGCCTGTCAGGGAGGTGTCCGTGAAAGACGGCTGAAAAAAAGAAGGGATAGACGGCCACTCAAACAACAACTGGGCCTTAGGCGGGGATACGAACCTCTGAGCTAGAAGGTTCTGGAAGCCCCCTTGGGGTGGAAATTCTCACTGGCAGGAGATGGTTCTAAGAGGGGAGGCTGGGCCTCTGGTGCTCTGCCCTCCCCTACCATCCTTCTAACGGCCAGAGTTCAAGGTTCAGAGGTGTGGCAGGCCCACAGGCTGCAGTCACACCTTGTCAGGTGATATGAGCTGAGGATGGGGGAGGGGGCTACTGAGGGTTGTGGCATCCAACTGCCAGTCACCCTGGCCCAGATGTGAGAAGCTGTCCCTTTTCTTTCCCCTCGCTGCGCACCAGGAAGTGAATTTTCCCTCTCCCTGCCTCATACCAGCCTGGCTCCATCCCAACCAGGGCCTCAGCACTGGCCTTCTGCTCACGTGGCTAACTCCCCCAAACCTTTCCTTCCGTACTTATCTCAGCCCTAAACGACTGCCGTCTCTTCTCCTGGACTGGAGGCTCTGTGAGCACAGAGACAACCAGGCCTGGCCCACTCTGCACCGCCCCTCCAGCCCCCAGCCCCAGGTCTGCTCAGACACCCTGGAGCAGAAGCTTGGGGTCTCACCTCGGCCCCGACTGCTGCCCTCCTTGGCGCGCCGGTACTGGTTCAGCTCTTTGGTGAAGTCGTCGTAGTCCTCCTTGCCCATATCCTCGTCCTCGTCGCCCTCATACTCCCCGTACTGCTCGTTATCGTAGTCGTCGTACATGCCGTAGCCTTTGCTGTCCATCTTAGAGTAGGACTTCTTGGGCAGGGACGTGCTGTGTGACGGGGGGTACTGCTGGTGGGACTGCCAGGGAGAGGAGGGTGAGCGGGCCCCAGGGCCTTGGGTGCAGACCACCGAGACCCTCACTATCCCTGGGAGAGGTACCATCCTCGAGCTACTGGGGGACTGGTCCCCACCTGAGTGAGAGCTAGGCAGTAGGCCCAGATGTTTCTGTTCTTCAGAAAGGGCCACAGCTTGAAAGAAAATGGAGAACAGACCCCACAATCCCTGAAGAACAAGGGAGAAAGTGTGGGGGGGGGGGTGGGCGGGGGGGAGTAGGGCTATTCCCAGGGCTATAGAGCAATCTCATTGGGGAGGAGGCCTGGTAGACAGAAGGGGTGCTTCCTGGTCAAAAGTTTCCTGGGGTCTGGGAATTCAATTAATTACCTGCTTGGCAACCAAACTAGAAAGCCATTTCAAATGATGCTTTCCAAAGTGTGCTGGTGCCAGGAGATACTGGATCAAGTTAAATATATATTTTATATATCACACACACACAAATGGAAGCCACCAAAATGTCCTCAGGCAATGAATGGATAAACCAACTGTGGCACATCCAGACAATGGAGCATTTATTATTCAGCAATTTAAAAAAAATGGGCTATGGAGCTATGAAAAACAGAGGAACCGTAAACTATGCTGCTAATTGAAAAAAAGCCAACTGAAGAGGCTACAACTGTATGAGCCTGACTGACATCCTGGGAAAGGCAAAACTCTAGAGACTGTAAAAACACTGGTGGTTGCTAGGGGCTCAGGGAGGAGGAAAGCAGAGGGGATTTTTAGGGAGTTGAGACTATTTTATATGATAGTGCATGGTGAATACATACTCTATACATTTGTTAAAACCCAAAGAACTATAAAACCCTAATGTAAAGGTATGAACTCTAATAATGAGTCAATATCGGCTCCTCAATTACAACAAATGTATCAACCACATTAATGCAAGATGTTAAAAACAGGAGAAACGGGGTGGGGTAAGGAGGGAGCTGTACTATCTACTTAATTTTCTATGAACCCAAAACTGCTCTAAAAAACAGTCTATTTTTAAATAACCCACACTCATTATAAAAAAAAGAGAGAGAAAATACAAAATATAGGTAGATAGACACACAACTACTTCAGCGGATCTTAAAATGCCCCGACACCAGTTCCCAATTAAAGCTCAGTGTTTCCTCCCTTCCCTGCCTCCCTCAGGTTTACAGTCTGAATCTCCGTTAGATCAATGTCAACTATGCCTTACAATAAATTATCTGTAATAATGGATGGTGCTGAGTCATATGATAACTGGGGCATCTTTAAGAGCTACTAGCTTTAAAAGTATTTTTAAAACTCAAAAAGCTATGCTAATGTTTTTTCTTATCAGTTTTGCTGGGGTGGGGGGAGAGCATACTAACTGAATAGATCATTTAACTTTATGTTTGCTTAAGGTCAGAGATATAATTTATTCCTAAAACCATTTCATTCTCTTGCTAATTTTCCACAAAAGTCATTTCTGAACAGTGTCAAACAGTCAGCTATGACAGGGACAAGTCAGCATCTTTCCCGGGGATAGGGGATAGGAGACACACGGCAAAGGCCACAGGAAAAGGTGGCATCGAGAAGTGCTAACAGCATGGCTCATAGAGGTCAGTCACGAACTGGGTTCAAACCCCCATTCCTGCACTTCAGGGCTGTGAAACCTGGTTGAAGTTTTCTAAGTCTCGGTTTTCTCACCTGTAAAATGGGGATAAAGACAACACCTAATCTGCCCAGCTGGTGTGGCTCAGTGGTTCGACCTATGAACCAGGAGGTCACGGTTCAAATTCAGGTCAGAGCACATGCCTGGGTTGCAGGCTTGATCCCCAGTAGGGGATGTGCAGGAGGCAGCCAATCGATGATTCTCTCTCATTATTGATGATTCTATCTCTCACTTTCCCTTCCTCTCTAAAATCAATAAAAATACATTAAATATATATATATAGACAACACCTAATCTTGCAAGGTTAAAATCCATGTCAAGTGCCATGCAAGAATGCCCAGCATAGGGCAAGGTGCTTAGGAAAGCAGTTTTACTCCATGGAGCCCCTGACCAGCAGTCACTCACCGGCACGTACGGGGGGCTGTACTCTCTGTACTTGCGGTGCCCCTTCTCGCTGGGGCTGAAATCTGAGTCATCAGAGAAGTCGGAGAAATCATCGCTGGAAGATGCGTGGCGCTGCAATGACAGGGGAAGTGGACTTAGCGATTCTGCTGCAGGCAGGTCACTCTGGCAGTCAGCCCCGGGGACAGCACTGCTGGAATGTGCCGGAAGGGCTCTGTGCTCGCTGTGAAACACCTTACCTACGGGCATTTAGCAGCAATGGAGCATGAGCTATTGATCCAATTTGAGGAAGGAAAAAACAACACTATTAGGAGTGCTCTTTGGCCTGACAAGACAAGCTCGGCCCCTGGGGCTCTCCGCCAGGCCCAGGCCCGAGAACCCTCCGGACCTACCTTGTGCTTAGATTTCCTCCTCTTTTTCGATCTTCTCTTCTCTTTCTCCCGCTCTTTCTTCCGCTTCCGTTTCAGCCTCCTGTGAGACTTTTCCTCGTCAGAATCGCTGTGGTGCTTCTCCCCTTTTTCTTTCCGGCTCCTCTCAGGGCCTCCAGGGGTGTCCTGGGTCTCCTCTGCCCCATCATCCTCCAGTTCACCTTCTTCCAACTCACCATCTTCCCTACAAACCAACCCCAAAGCCAGCATGAACACAGGTTTGAGAGGAACACAGGCCCGAGGGCTCTGGGCTGGCCAAGGCTGGCAGGAATGGAGGGCCTGACCGCTGTGAAAGAGACCTGGAATCCCTGCCAGAGGCCTTGGCGGGACCTGGGGTCCACTGCCCCCCATCCCACCCCGCCCTCCTCCTAAAGGACCGCATCTGCTCTCAGCTGTCCTGGCTAGGGCTGGGGCTGCGGCTGGGGGAGGGGACAGGGACCGACGCCGGTAGGAGCAGTATTTCCCAAACTGTTCCCTAGGACTAGAATTCTAAGAAAAGTGACGAGGTTCTGTGGTCAAGTTAGTTGAGGGAATCCCCACCTTGGGGAACCACAATGCTTAACGCTGTAACAGAAGTTCCCGCAAGTCCTACAGTCAAGAAACCTGTGCATCTTGGCTTCAGGGCACTTCTGAGATGCACTTGACCACAGAGCCTGCTTCTCTCACGGAACACGACCAGCATCCCTCCCAGGCGCAGTGGCCTGGGGTCGCCACTGGCCCCAGAGCTATGGATGCGCCCTGTGAGCTGAGGGTGGTAGCTGTGCACAGTGGAGAGAAGGCCATGCTTCCGATCCAGGGGTGGCCTGCAGATTCCTGGGCCCTACCCCCAGGCAGGCCCGAGGACACACTAGTGAACAGGCTCTGGGGTCTGACCCACACCCTCAGCTCCATGGCTCTGGGCTGGAGGCAGGGGGGATTGAGTGGCTAAAAGGTGTGAGGGGAAGGGTCCCAGGCCCCAGACCCCGTGAGGTCCTCACATGACAGCAGTGAGAGTGCCTGCAGAGGGGCCAGCCCCCACCTGCAGCTCACCCTGTTTCCCACCTGACTTGCCTCACTTCTGGGTATCCCTTCTGGCCCCCCAGTCTAGATTTCCTAACTTTTCCACTCCCCCCAATACCACCCTACCCCTAGTTATTAAAAAAGCGCTCTCCTGCCATGACAGATGCTGCGAACAGGACTCTAAATGTCTAAATATCTATGGGGTATGGGGTGGGAGGGTTGGGGATAAACAGGGTTAAGAAAGGAATAGCTGGGAAAAGAATCCAGTTTTTGAGCCAAACCCACAGACACAGTACTCACAAGCACAGAAGCTGGTTTTAAAAAAATAAATAAAAATTTTAAAATGTTTCCAAAGTTCCTCATGCATGACATGGAAAAGTATGTATGAGGGCATAAAAAAATGACTTCTTTATCAATGAAACAGGACCCAACCCAAATGAAGATAACAGAGCAATGTAATGAAGGGACCCAAAAGGCTACCAAAGGGAACTAATCCGGGCAGAAAAGGCCTCAGCCGCTCAGATGGGCCCAGGGTCGGGGTGGAAACAAGCTCATCAGGCAGCTGGCCCGGGAGCGCCCGGCTCTCTCAGGCTTTGCGGGGAAACAACGAACGAACGGACGACTTCACAGACCTCCCACTGTGTCGCTCCCTTTGTCTGCCTTGGTGCTGCTCCCTAAGCATCAACACCTTCAAGAAGGGCTGTGTACACTCTCATTCCCAGTTCAGAGGGGTCAGATCAGCTTAAAACAAGTGGCCCAGCCCCACCAGATACCCCAGCAGAGTCAGGGGCAGCTCTCGAACAGAATGCTAGACAGAGAACCTGAATGCTTCAAAGGAAACAACACAGAGAGATGACCCATGTGCTTCTCATGTTGTTTCCCTGTAAAGGGCCAGGTTGCCCTGGGCTGGCCTCACAGGAAGACGCCCAGTAAACTTTGGAGAAGGCAGCATTCCTGACAAGTGAGGCACCTTCCGGCTGGGGTGTGGCCCACAGAACGAGGGGTGGCACCGAGCAAAGCTCTACTGGGATGAAGGCAATTCTGCTGGAATGGCCTCACCCACAGCAAAAGTGCCACTTGACTGGGGAAACTGGTTTGGGCCAGCTCACCAACCCAAGGGAGACGCTGTTATTCAACGGCATGGCCAATTCCTGCTGTCTGGAGTTGGGGAAGTCACTGGGAGAGTGGTTTCTGGAGACAAGAAGATGTGTGCCTGAGGGGAACACTGGGGCGGGCCAGGTGACCACACCTCAGGAGAAATACCGGGAGAGCCAGACAGACTAGACAGGCAGACACACAAGGGAGCTGGGGAAGGCCCAGAGACAGATCGGAGAGGTAGAGGCTGGTATCCACGAAGAAAAGCTATAAAGAGCATCCCTCTCAACACTTTAGTCTGGAAAGGAAAAAGCTGAGAGGGACACGGGCATAAAGTACCCAGAATCCCAGGACAGGGATGGAGGGAACACAGTTCGAGAGGAACTGCCTAGGCTCCTAGAAGTCCAGATAGAAGACATAAAGGCCAAGACTGCCAACAGCAAAAGAGCTTTCTGGAACCAGGAGAAAGCCCGCAGAGCAGAAGGGATAGTGGGACGCCATCACCCTTTCATTTCAAACAGGAGGGAGAGTAGGTGAGGGGGGACTAGTCGAGGTCAGACAGCCGGGGGTGACACGAAAAGCACCAGAATGGACTTGTTTCCCGCCCCTAAGCCCACTGTCCTTCCTGCTCAGTGAGGCATAAGGGGGAGACCTCTCATCACCGCCTACTTAATGCCACAAACATTCCTGAGCATCTTCTCTGTGCCAGGTCCTTGAGCACCTCCTTCTCTGCATTCTCCAAACAGGAAAAGATACAAATTACAAGAAATCCAGTCCACAAGGAAGCCTCTGTGATACAGGTCTCTGGCAGCTGAGCCAGGGTGGCTGGCACCTCCCGACATTCTCTCACCCGTGCCCGCTCCTGGGCAAGGACCCCGGGCACAGCAGGCGAAGGTCTTGCCCAGGGTCAGCTTAGGCCTCCACCCTCTCCTGCTGCTGCACGCTGATTTAGACCAAGGCACAGGCTGCTCTACATCTGACACCTGCGGGTGGGACCACAAAAGACCACCCAAGCAACTCCAAAGCCTTTGCCATCATCAGGAATGATTGCAGAAGCAAGCCTTCCAAATGCCAAAGGACTTACCAAGACAGCTCCACGCCACAAAGACTTTCAGCCAGAGAGTTCTCTGCGTTATCTATATTAACAGCCCCCATCATATCTGGGCTGAGAAACTACCATGGGACTTTTTCACACAATGTTTTACAAAACGGGTAGTGAATACTGGACACTTTGTTTCCTTAGATTTGGGAGAAGCTGAAAAATAAATAGGATTTTAAAAAATCTCTGGTGATTTGTGAAGGGGAACAGGATACTGGAGGGGACACTGGGACAATCACATTCCATTGACCACTGCGCATTCTCAGTGCCATCTGGCCGCCCCATGCTCTCAAAACTCCTCAGAGCCCTGGGCAAACTTCTGTTCACCTGAGAGGATGCCCTCTGCTAACAATGGGGAGTCCCAGCTAAACGTCCTGCATGAATACGGGGCCTATTTCCTTCGGACTGTCCAACAGAAAGAAAATCAAACTAACTGGGACGGGTAGAAACCCTGAGGGCCACCGGAAGGACTGCACAGAGGCAGCCTCCACAAAACAGCAACCAGGTTTAAGCAGCGCCACTTCACAGGCTGCCAGCAAAATCCATGTCAGAGCGGGATTAAATACCGAGGGAGCACGCTTAATAGACTGTGACATAATCCCCCAAGAAAAGTGGGGGACGCCCCGCTGCGCTAATCATTTCAATCAAGCTCTCTTGAGACCAGCATGCAGGAGAAACCCTGCAGCGTTCGGCCTGGGCAGAGACCACCTAATTCCCAGAGCAATGCCCCAGGACGGCTGCAGCAGGGCCGACCTGCCGAGCCATCAGGGACAGGAAACCAGCCGTGCCTGCAACAGGCACCTGGGAGGAATTGGGAAGAAGTCTAGAGTCAGATCTGCCTTTCAACTCCTAGCCTAAACTTCCGGGGCATTTAAGTTTCCATTAGCAGAGCTGGTGACAGCCAGCTCCTCCTCTCAGGTCAAAGAATATATCTGGATGCCTCTTCAGCCACAGGACAGACAAGCATGTTGGGTTCAATCACATACCATGGGCTTGGCAAAGACAGTACTTTTTCCGAGTTTCAAAGTAGGCTGGCCCCACCTACCAGCCTACAGATTTGGGCATCTGGCTTTTTTTCTGCAGACCAAGTAACTCAACTAGCTCTTCCTCTTCCCCAGAGTATACTCTTGGTATACATAACCCCAGCCTTGGTTTTCTCATCTGCAGAATGGGATAACTATAGTACCCACCTCAAGGGGTTAAAGGAGATAAGATGGACAAAGCCCTTGACATGGAGGCAGGCACAGAGGGAGTATCAGACAAACAGTAGCTACCGGTTTTAAGAACCAGCTAGCATGAATGTGCCTCTGCATAGATTAACTCTCCATTACTGGCTGAATGTTCACTGGGATGCATTTCTCTAAGGAAAAGCTATAACTTCCCTTTGGGACCGACCACTGCTAACTGCTGGCCAACAAGGTCCCAACTTCTCTTGATCCAATACCATCCTCTCCTAACAAATCCTGGTGAAACTGACAAATGGACATCTCCCCTTTCTCAGCTCTAATCTAGGCGAGACCAGAGAGTAATAACCAAGTGGCTGACCAGGAGGGAAAGGCACAGGGAGAGCTGAGCCCTAGAGAGAAGGGACAAAGGTGCCTCACACAAAGCTTGGCAACATGGAAATTCTCTAGACAAGACAGAGGGATGGAAGTTCAAAGGGGCTTGGGCTTGTGAATCCACCTGGCTTAGAGAGGGGGGAGGGAGGAGGGGGAGGGGGGAGGGAGAGAGAGGGGGAGAGAGAGAGAGAGAGAGAGAGAGAGGGGGAGAGAGAGAGAACAACAAAGATGGAAACTCATGGGAGCAGTGGCTATTACCTGAAGATCATGAGAGCCCTTGACAAGAGACGGCTAGGTTAATGTGAAGGTCAGGGTTATGATCATTAACTGCCCAAACTCTCAACAAATTGCCTGGGTAGGCTCTGAATGACCCATTAACTAGGGACAAAATTACGAAAATTACAAGGAAGCTCTGCCTCTTCAAATGTTTAAGGAACCCCAAATCCGACCCTTTGGGACAGTCGTTTACTAGGATCGAAGGCTTCCTTTTAGAAAATTGGCTCAGGGCTCGTGCCTGAGACCTCAGAAGGCCGAGACCTTCCCTTGATTTAAGACATGAAACAGCCCTTGGGAGGAGAACCTCACTGAGGGATTTTCAGAGGCAGGAAATTCTTGAAATAAACCTTTGGGTCTTGCACATGTTTTTCAGTGTCCTTACAACCTAGGTTCATCGACCAGAAATCAAGAGCAAATGGGCTCTGTTCCTCTCTCTCCTTCAACACTCCCAGTTGTGGTCACAACTGGCTCTGTGACATCGCACTATTTCCATGGTAACATGCTCACATCACGGATGCCCCTGGGGCTGCAAGCACAGACCAATGACAGAAGAGAAGCCCAACCACCAGCAACCCGGGTCACCAGCTCGCTGAACGCCTCACTTCAACAAGAGCAGGACAGCCTGCCCGGTGCCCGGACCCAGACAGGAACACACCTACTGCCAAAAGTCAATGTGGGGGAAATTGGAGAAATCCGACCCCGGACTGGGTAGTTGAAATATTAATTAATGTTAATTTTGTTAGGTATGATTATGGTGAAACGAGGTAAGATCTGGGAACTGCTTTAAACTATGCAAGGGAGATGGAGGTAGGTGAGATGAACCAAAACTGGCAGGATGTCTATCATCGGTCAAACTGGGGGGTGGGTATATGGTGATCTATGATACTATGTTCTTTTCTCTTGATTGTTAGAAAATTTCCATAATAAAAAGCTTTAAAAGATGCCCTAAGTAGGGACAATCTCAGCAAGGTAACGGGAGTGTCAAGGTCCTAGGAAGTTAAATTTCCAGCAGAGAGCTGGAGTCCTGGGTGGGGGCCTCACCTCTCCCCTGGTTTCCTTAACTCCAACACCTGCCTAGGTACCTCAGTCTTATAAAGTCCAGTGCCTAAACCCTACCTAACACATGACAGAATGTGGGTAAACATTTGTTGAATGAATGCCTGAATGCATTAGTGCAGCAGGAAGTATTCATTCCAAACATTCTGTAGCAGCAACTTCCATGCAGGCACCAGGCGGCTGAGCTCTCCCCCCTTTACCGAGCTCGCTCTGAAACCCGTTAACA